TCGAAGGACTACTGATATGTCCCGAAGGACCACTGATAACCCCTCGACTCTTGGCATGCCAATTATACCTACAACTCTCATATTAAATAACATGGGCTTAAATATGAATACATTTCTCATTTTCATATCTCTTTTATCACTTTTCATATAATACATAATTCACTTCACATGCACACATATGATCACTTTATGTTTTTCATATATCACTTAGCATTATCCTTTGATAATACCATTCATTACACATAATGTCATATTAAAGCATGGATGAATTATACATGTAATCACTATAAACAATATAATTATATATATATATATATATGCATGTACAAGAATAAGAAATCATGGATTCAACGATAAGAGATAGACTTATCACAAGTCTTGTCTCCATAAAACTTTATCTAAAATATGCACTCACCTTAGCCTTATTTGATTTGACTCGATCCTAATCCTTCAATTGTTCTGGAACAAGATTACGCTCTAAATCTACATAGTAATACATTGATACATATCAGTATATTAATTGATATATTCCAAACTATCACTTCTTACACTAAAAGAAAGACTTTTTTCATCTCTTAATGAAGGTATGTATCGATGCACTATACAGTGTATCGATGCATCCCTTAACGAGGGCATCGATGCACTATCCATGCATCGGTACACAAATCACATTCGATGTTTTTATCTTAAGGGGGTGCATCGATGCACTCCTTATGCATAGATGTACTAATTGCATTCGATGTTTATTTATTTGAGAGTGCATCGGTACACATTGAAGATGTACCGATGCACACAACCCAGAAATTCTAGTTTAAGCACGAAATTCACTCTCTTTTCAACCCAACTCTTCTTATTTCACCTTCTTTAATATCCCTAACTTGCATACATATACTTACACTCATTACCACTCAATAATCACTTCTTTCAACCCAAATTCCTATCCTTTATATGGCATTCAGAAATCATACTCAATTTCCAACATGTTCTAATTCACATTCTAACACTTCCTATTCCTTAATTCCACTAATGACAAGTCAATTTTAGTCTTGAAATCTAATTGAGTTGCCTATCCAGCTCAGTTGGTAGAGCACAAGGTTCTTAACCTTGAGGTCGTGGGATCGAGTCCCACGGTGGGTAATTCATAATTTGGAGGTCTCTCACGGAAGCTGCTCTCAACCTGGCATTGGGGACAGCCTACTATCCTACCTCCCCCTTACCCCATTATATATGGGAATAAGGGTCAGCTAATTACCTCCTTACTTTAATCCTTCCTAATTCCATCATCTTGTTGTTTTAAAACAAATTAAGCTTTCCTTAAGCTTAATTAGCATCTAATGATCAAAATCAAACTTAAATTTTAGCAAACAATTAGCTCATGAGAAATCTCACCTTTGTTTTGACCCCTTCACGTGTGGAGAAAGAAGATAATAAGAGAACTCTAGAACCTTGTGTTTTGCTTCATTCTCTTCCACGTGTAGCTAATATATATATCTCTTCTTTAATTATTTTCCATGCAAATGACTATTCTATCCTTCAATTCCATCTTTCTAGCAATTTAACCCTAAAATTCTAAAGTTTTACAATTTAGTCACTAACCCGGTATTAAGGATGTTACATGTCATCTTAACGGTTTACTAGAATCTCAAGTGAACAAATTTGTATAACAAATATTGACGTGAAAGTAACCACGATTATTGATTTTATTTCAAAATATTGATTATGTCCGATAACAAAATCTAAAATAAACGAGAATTAATTTTTTTGTTTATTGGAATATTTGATTTCATATTTGAAATAAATTGAGATTTTAATTTTGTCGTTTAACAGCATTATTGAATTACTATTTATAATAGAAATCGATTAAAAGTAACAAGTTTGTTACTAATTTGTTTCAAAATTTTAGTTTATAACTAAATTTTGTTGGTAGAATAAAACCAAACTTGTTTCAGTTTATTATTGGAATTATTATTAACTCTAAATGGAATAATGGATAATCTCAGTTATTCACCTAATTCGTGATTTGGAACGTTGTTTCCTACTCGACCTTTGAATTTAAATTCAACAATGTTGATGGTTGTAAGCCATAACGAGAAACTTGTAAAATTATATAGATAAATTTTCAATATATAACAACACAAGATGTTTTATTTGGATGATTCTCCTATCATTAGGAAGGATGAGATAATCATTGTTACCACATTTTAAAAAAATGCGTAAGCATTAATCATGACATTTTAATTAGAATATTAAATATGGCATGAATAAAAAAAAAGTATTGTTTGATATTTATAATTATTATAAACTATTATATTAATTATGACGCGCGTGTTTGAAAACACAATACTATTAATTTCTTTTGAGAAATTTTATAGATACCAACAAATTCAAAGTTTAATCAAAGGTTATTGAATATTAGGTTGTCAAAGTTAAAAGATTAGTTCATTTTATTTCTGGTTATTAAGCAGAATCGGGTTGCCTTGATATATATGTTTCGGAAGATATAACACAGGAAACAGAGACATAAATTGTTGAATTTATTTCACCTTAGAATTTTGCTGTTGATTCTAACTTTGAAAAGGAAATAAATCGTTGAATTTATTTTCCTATGAATCTTATATAATTATGTTTGGTAAAAGGAAATAAAACGTCAAATTTATTTTCTTGGAAATCTTGATCGATTTCATCTCATAGAAGAAAATAGATTGTTAAATTTATTTTCATAAAATCTTGTATGATTCTATTTGTAAAATAAATTAAATCGTTAGATTTATTTCTTGAGAATCAATTATGATTCTATCTTGTAAAAAAGAAATAATTATTGAATTTATTTCTTGAAAGTCTCGAATCAAAGCTTGGAAAACATAGTTTTATAATATATAATCAAATTCTCAAAGTCTTATCTGATGCACGTTATGCCGTTTACAATGTTTAAAATGGAAAAAGAATTATGGATGATAGCAAAAGTGTTGATATGCATATTTGCTTAAGGGCAAAGATGAAACTATAGAGAAATGTATACTCTATAAGCAGGAAGTCGAAAGTCAACTTAATAAAAAGATTAAGATCGTAAAGAGTGATCGTGATGGTGAATATGTTAAATCATTTAGTGAATTTTGTTCACAACATAGTATTATTCACGAAGTAACACCACTCTATTCTCCTCAATCAAATGGAGTACCCGAGAGGAAAAATTGGACTCTAAGGGTGCGTTTGGTTCACGAAATATAAGATTATCAGTGGGAATAAAAGATTATCAGGGAATAGATTACTGGGAATGCTGTATTTTGTGTTTGGTTGGTTTAGCAGGAATGTAAGATTATCGTATTTGATTAAAGGAATAAAAGATTATTGGAATGTATATTTGACCAAATTGTCCTTATTATATATATTTTTTTTAACAAGTTGAAAAATATTTATATATTTTCTTTTAAAAAAATTAAATTCATAAAATTTATATAATTTTTTTTACAAAATTGAAAATATAAAAAGGTTTAATGAAAGGGTAAAATTTTATTTTAACCCCTGAACTTCATATAAAATTTTAATTATAATTTTTTTTTTTGTAAATCTAAAATAGTTTAAGGATAAATTTGTAATTTAACCTTCGTAGAATTTTTATTATTTAATGATAGAATAAGGATATTTTTGAAAGAACAAAAAATTTAAGGGCATTTTAGTCCAAAACGTCGGTAATCCAACAATACCTAAGGAAATGGAGATAATGACATTCCCGGTAATATACCCCAAAAAATTCATTATTGGTAATGTAAGATTACCGGGAATGACATTCCCGGCCAACCAAACGGGAGAATGTGGATTACATTCCCATGAGAATCTCACATTCTCCCAATCAAACACACCCTAAAAGAAATGATAAATGCCTTGTTAGGTAGTTTTGGGTTATCACATAACATGTGGAGGGGAAATTGTCTTTTCAGCTAATTACTTTTTAAATAAGGTACCCTAAAGGAAAAAAACAAGACATCATATGAATTATGGATAGGTTGGAAACTTTCCTACAAACATTTGAAAATATGGGGTGTCTTGTTGTACGAGACCAAACATCGCTTTTACTGTGAGTAGTCTAAGCATATTCACAAGTCCAGGTGAAAATCACTGGAAATCAATAAAAATGATATTAAGATATCTTAGATATAATTGGATTATGGGTTGAATTATTCTAGAGATCATGTTATCTTAGAAGGATACTCCGATGTCAATTGGATATCTGATATTCAAGATATCAAATGTACAAGTGGATATATGTTCACTTTAGGAAGAGGAGTTGTGTCTTGGAAATCCTCAAGACAAACGATTATAACTAGATCCACAATGGAATATGAGTTTGTAGCTCTAGACAAATTTAGAGAAGAATAGCTTTGGAACTTTCTTGAGGAACTTTCTTGAGGGTATTCCAGACAAAAGAACCGAATCTCAATGGGTGGTAGCAGTTTTGATGAATATTAATATGAAAATGTTGTAGGAAGCAAGTGGTGGGTTGGCCGCCGGTGAGAGGGTATGCAAAGAGAGGGAAGAAGAGTTGCAAATATGTAAAAGTGGCGGTGGACGGAGCTCCATATTTAACGAAAGTTGATCTCAAGATGTACGATAGTTATCAGCAGCTGTTAGCTTCCCTTGAAGACATGTTCTCAAGTTTCACCATAAGTTTTTCGTTTTGATGGTAAAAAGTACATAAGGGTAGTTTAGTCATTAAAATTTTATTTTTAAATTTGACAGGGAATTGTTTGAATGATAAGAAACTGGACCAAGCGAATGGAATTGAGCATGTGGCTACATATGAGGATAAGGATGGAGATTGGATGTTGGTGGGAGATGTACCATGGCAGTAAGTTCGCTAAATTGCTCTTGCTAATTGCCATGCACCCGAGGCATCTGACGCCAAATATTTTGAGGTTAATGTGGACCTTGTGATCCCGTTTTCGATTTTGCTAATTTCTGCAACATCCACCAATATGTTACAAGTCGATGTTCTTTTGTTGCATTACTGGAAACATTCAGTGAGCTTTCGTTTACAATCTCAAGCAAACATAATATGGATGAATCATGAGATCATTTACAAGTAATTACACCTCAGACCACATTTTTTTACCACGTAATCATAATAAGATGGGATTTCTGCTTTCATCGATTTCAATCACTAGCAGATGGTTCGGATCCGATCCATTGGGTCCTTCAGAATACAGTGTCGGCAGGTAAACTTTATAAGCACGCAGGTAACGTGAAACAAAATCTTCCACCTGTGGATAGTGCCAACAGATTTTGACTTAAACCATTGAAAAATAAGATTAAGGATATAAAAACTTTGCTAAATATTTTGTAGAACATCCCACCTCCTCATCTGTCATTCCAGGTTTTCCTGCCTGCCTCATGGCAATCTCAGCCTGCCCACATCCATTCACAACCAAAATGATGAGAAAAATCAATGATTCCATGAATTTTGGGTAAGAACGTTATTGATTGATGAGATGCGTCTACTTGAAAATAAGAACCAACCTGTAGACGCCACTGGTAGACACAACTTGGGTCCTGAATTTTGATTACGATCCATGCCTCAGTGAACTTGTCCCAAGCATCATAATATGCTTCAAGATTTTTGTTTACTATCTCCAGCTGTAAAATTAATCATTCCGTTTTGGAACTTCATAAATAACTAGTATGTTCGTAGCGGCAACATCGGATGTGCTCTTGAAGACTTTGGAGCTTATAGATCTAACCTGTGGATCAACAGCTTTAACAACTTCGGTTGGAAGGGGTTTGAAGCCAAGCATCCAGCCTTCATATAGAACCACCTGATTATTCTCACGTTAGCGTAGGAGGCCAGTGAAATGAATATCTTACCTAGAAGATACTAACATAATCATATTAGTCACTGAAAACTATTTTGGTACATCGACTTGATCATGTTACCCTTTCAAGTAAACTGTACCCACCATTCCCTAGCTCTAGCTGACAATTTTCTTACCGGTAACGGTCCTTCAACTTCTGGCCATATCGAAGAATCAGCTCTGTCGCCCCTCCCACCATATGCCGACTATAAAGAACAATGTTATTCAGAAACAAGCTGGAACGAAAAGGCTGATTGTGTAACAAGTAAAACCCGTAATGTTGTGCTTACTTTATCGTATCGAGGAAACTTCATCCTCATACCTGTATAGCTCAAACAAAGTCAACCATAAGGATATGAACAAACTCTGAATTATAGCATCAGAATATGAGAGTGTTGATAGACAAAAAATAACACCTTCTTTAGTCAACTTGGTCACAGCTTTCAGTGTTTCAGCAGAGAATGGAAGATCATGGCTCCCAGCATTTCCTCTCAACTGAAATAACACCATATACAAAGAAAAGGAAAGAATGAAAATGATTCATTCTTCTATGAGTAACACAAAGTTTGTTCCCCGGTTAAGTCCGGAAAGGAAAAGCAACGGTCACCTCTAAAAGAGCATTTCCTGGATTCTCTTCCCTCAATTTAGCCTATTATCAATGTACATTGCGTAAGAAAGTGAAAAGAAAAATGAAAAAAAAAATGTTACAGGAAAATTAATTTTGTTACCTGACCTGCTGCTGTCAAATAGAAATCATCAATAGATAATGTTGCAGACTTCCTGAGATTATGGTGGATGTTAGTAATTTCAATTGTTTCCACTTTTCTCGATTTATATTACCAATGAGTCAAACGAGATACGAATTTAAATTCCATTGCCCATCAAGCTACCTGCCAGTGATCCTGAAAAGATAATCAAGAGCAAATACAAGTGTGGTCTTCCCACAACCTGTGGTGCACTGAAACCAATTTGCATCACAAGAAAAATGACATTGCCACAGAATTAAAAGAATAGGTCGAATAAGCCAGCTGCATAGCCCTCTCATTATCCAAATGAAACGAAATGTAAAAGTATTTGCTAACAGTGCTCTCCAACTGTTTAAAGGTTCTTTAATTTACGAGTTATAGTGATAAAATTGTCTTCATGCGGTAATTGACCACCTTGTCCATAAAGTTCAATGCACTGGGTAAAAATATTACTATATAATAACATTAAAGAGTACTCTTAGGGGACTTGTTAGCAAAATCCAACGTAAAAAACTAATGAAATGTGCACAAACAAAGAAAGCACAAGCATACGACAATCATTTGGGAACCTTTATCCATACCACTAATGGAGGTATCTCTTCTCCATCTTTAAATTTGGACGCGTGCTGTGATATCTGGTCTTCGCACCATATAAAGACTGGTATGTAGTAGTGATAAAACCTTGCTTTCTGAGGAGTAGTAAGGTAAAGTTCATTGACCTGAAACAATCGACAAAGCTTCGAGCCATAAAACAACCACTTGTCAATGGACTCTGCCACCTTTTCTTGGGTTAGTCCAACTTTGTCGACAAGTGGACCAGCGCATATGAATTCAAAGAGGTCCTCCACAGAGGCAACCTCCGCAGGTTTTGAGGGAAAAACTGAATATGTTGGACCCTGCCTCAATGCACTACCACTGTTTGCATCATGATGCAGGGAACCATCTTGCAACCATGAGCTACCACTGCCTGCAGGAAGAATTCATAGAGAAATGGAGATGAATTATCAGCTAAACTAAGATGTTTCAACGATTAAAGCAAGAAGTAGCTTTAGAAAGAAACCAAATTCAACAGCCTTTTTGCATATTAAAATCTATTAAAAATGCTAAAACTAAAACAACTCTAAACAAATAGGAACCATAGAGATCTCTTTGTTTCTATATACGATTTTCTCATCTTTGGGTTTCTTAAGGAAAGAACAATCCTTTCTTGAGTCTTCCGTGCTGAAATAGTCTAGTTTTAAGCTCTAAAGACTGGAATATCGCTGAAGGAAAAAAATCAAACAAGCAATCAAGAATTCCTGAAAATCAAATTGGATTGACTGCGCATCCAAGAAGAGATCAGAAGCTCTTAGGTGGATAGAGATTGTAGAAGAAAAACATACCCCTTTTCAACTTCCCATTATAAATGATAACAAAAACGTACTTAAAACCTAATTTTAATCTTATCCAAAACTTTTCCAACGGCTGCCAAACAGAGAGCAATACAAGTGGATAAAACAGTGTAAACCATGTAAAAAAGATCACCGTGATAAAAGCAAATATATACAATAATAAATCCAAATAAAAATAGGAGGAGATAGTAACACCTGAAATAGAGAAATGGGTTGGCGGCATAGTTGATTTAGCTTGTGAAAAGAGAGAAGAGAAAGCAGGGGAGTGATGGTTAAGCAGAGAGGATATAACTGTATGAATTGTTTTGGTATTCTTATCATGACAATAAGCATTTTGGATTAGCCTATGAGAACGGGAAATTTGAGTATTATAATGCAAGGTGGTGGCTTGGCATGGCGTGAGCGTAGTAAAAGCCGCCATTTTTCTCCCGCTCTGAGGGGGAGGCAAAGAAAATGAGCAACAGTGACGAAAGATAAGGGATATATAAAAAAAAATCGGATCCAACTGCACAGACCTCTAGTTTTTGGTTGTTGGTTTAATTAATTTCATGAATGAACCATTTGATTTTATTCAAATAAAAAAATTATTATGAAATTAATATAAATTAATATTTATTTAAAATGTTTATCCTTAAAGTTTTAATTTCGAATACAATGATTATATGATATTTGAATATTCTTGATCAAAATGATTGAGATCTTTTAAAATATATAAAACCATTTATAATCACCTTGTAATTAAATTAATAAAAAATTTATTAAATATTTATAATCTGTTCTATAAATATAAATACTCAACTAAGTATTTTTAGAAAGTACAAGAATCATTTTCACCATTTAAATTATATATATATATATATATGCGCTTAAATAAATAGATAAGTTTTGGAATGATATCACAGTAAAATTTATATATATATATATGCGCTTAAATAAATAGATAAGTTTTGGAATGATATCACAGTAAAATTTATTTAATTCTAATATTTTTTTAATAATTAAAAGTTATAATTTAAATTTATTTAACTTTAATTCTTGAGTTTAAATTAAATAATTTATTTTATTCTCTCTATATGAAAAATTAAATTTTAAATACAATCATATATCATAAATTTATAGGAAAATTTTATAATATTCGACGAGCACCGCTGAGCATCACTAACGATTTAATCCTTTTACTTTTATCACCGATCTTATAAAAGACTCAACATATAATTATAAATTAGTTAAAATTTTAAAATTAAATTATTTAAAATAAATATTAATTATATTATTTTCTATAATTTTTTGGGTAAATTATACAATTGACCACCTAACTATTTAATCATTTTACTTTTACCACCGATCTTTTAATTTTTTCAATCAGACCACCTAACTATTTAATTATATTCAATCAAGCCACTTATCGTTAATATTTAATGAAAGTGTTGATGTGACAGTTAATAAAATTGATATAATTATACATTTAGTCCTCAATATTTACAATTTATTAATTTAGTAAGAGAGGCAAGATTAGAAAAGCTACCCGGGTTATAAAGATTGTCGAAGTTTCGGGATTTTTTCTAATGTCATAACTTATAATGTGTGGATTAGTGGGTACTGCAGGGCAGGTGAGATTCAATGGCGAAACTACCTTTAGATTAGGGATGAGTCTATCACATATCCCTCCTATTAGGAGTGAGTTCGATCCCAACCAGTTAGAGTTAAAATATTTTAAATTACATTTAAAATATAATCTAATTAAGTAGTGACAAGTGTCACCATCTGATTGAGAGATTAAATTTATGAAATTAATTTAAAATTAAGACTAAATTAATAAATTATATAAATATTAAGGACTAAATGTAAAATTATACCAATTTAAGTAACGACTATGTCAGCACTTTCATTAAATATTAAAAGAAAATCCACCAATCGAATAAGAAAAAGATGGATTATTCAATCATTGATTCGTAAAATCTAAAAGGGAACAAATTTTGAATTGATCATTAAGTTAGGATAATTATTAAAGAAAATCCAAAAACAATTAATTAGTCTTGTCTGTCTTCATTTGAGGCTCTGAATTCATTGCCAATCCAAAACTGAAAAGGCAGTAATATAATAATTACTTGATATATATATATATATATATATATATATATATATATATATGCAAGATTAATTATACTATAATAATTCAACATATTCTTAACTCTTAATATGAGTAAAAGAAAATAATTTTAGTTATGGATACTTTATTAAAAAATGTAAATTACATAAATGGTCTATCGATTATATCGTGTTGTTTTGTAGAGATCTTGGACTATCAAAAGTTATAAAATAGTTCTTTAACTATAACATATTATTTTGTTGAGCGGTCGAATATTAAAAGTTTTAAAATGGTCATCTAACTATTTACTATGCTGCAAATTTATCCTTTTTCTGTTAAAAAATTGACGACAATCTGAGTTGGATGTTACTCTGATGTCTACGATATGATAGTCATTCGAGATTCTGAGATCGTATTTCATCACATCTTAGACAATAAATTAATATTCAGCTCAGGCTGTCGTCATTTTTTGTTGTCGTCAACTTTTTAACAAAAAATGACGAATTTGGAAATAATGAATATTCGGGCGATCATGTTGTAACGTTTAATAGTCGGAGACTCAATAAAGCAACATCCTATAGTCGGGAGCTATTTTATAACTTTTGATAGTCGGTGGACTCAAGAAAATAGTACTGTCATAACCATTTTTTTTGTAAAACAATTAAATATTATTTTTAAAAACAATTATGACTTTAAATTGAAAAAAATGAGTGATTTTGAATTGATTTGAATTAAATTAAAAATGGAGTCGCCATCGACCTTTGGGTTAGGTAGGTCGAATACCTAAAAACATCTTTTAAAACAATTTTAGGAAAAAATCATTTTTTAGACAAAAATGGTCTGCGTTTACCAAATGTTCGATTTGATGGGTTCGGGAGTCGGTTACGCGTGGGGAAGGATTAGCACCCCACAACGCCCAAAAACTGGTACTGTGTCGCTTACATGTTGTCGTAAAATGGTGGAAATTACAAATCGAATATAAAGTTAAAATATGATCTATTTATTGAATATTTGTTAAAATAATAGAAATACTTCACTTGGTAAGAAATCTCAAGATTTGCAATCCTCCAACGGGAAAGCTATCTCATCTATTTCTTATCTATAAAGTATATCCTATCTTTGAATTACCACTAAATAATATTGTCATGAGTAGAAAATAAAATATGCTTAATTTATGTATCGTTAATATTAACATAACAACCATTAATACAATAAAAATTATGAAAAATAGAATAATAAATAAATTATGATCTATTTATTGAATATTAGTTAAATAAATAAAAAAAAATCCTTTTCTCGATAAGAAATCCCGAGATTTGCAATCCTCCGCAGGGAAAGCTACCTCGTCTATTTCTTACTTGTAAAGAATATTTTCTCTTTAAATTAAAAAATGACGAAAATTGACATAATGCATCATACTATACTTTTCCAAAGCATACATCACTCATATTAAGATTCAATGAAGAAATAATAATAAAGATTAAAATTTAAATATTAAACAATATGAACATCAAATAAATTAATCAAAAAATAACAAAAAATAAAATAACAATAAAATAATTTCTATAAGCTTGTAAAAGGGAAGAATTTGCATTTTTTATTCTGCTTGAACGTCGTATCGGATTGTACCACTTCGATCAAGTGATACTTTCCACGCCCGTTCTATAAATATGTGTTCTTGAAATTATTCGAATAATATACAATAGAAATATAATGGGAATAAATATAAATAATATATGCGACATAGAATGTTTATATTAAATGAAACAAACAACATTATTTACATAATACAAATAACCAAAAAATATGTAAAATACATTCATACATAAATAACTAAAATAAAACTAAGTTAACATTACAAACCAAAATACAAACCAAATAAGCACATATGATAATTTCAAGGACCAAAATGACGTTTAACCAAGCTTGAAGGGCTAGAATAATGTCAAAATGAAATTTAAGGACCAAAATACAAATACAGAAATTTAAAGAGTTAAAATCGAAGGAACATAAGTTAAAGAACTAAACTGAAATTACACAAAAACATGAGGGATCAACAAAATATTTAAACCAAATACCAAAACAGTGACTAAAACAGAAGATGCATAAATCTGAGGGCCAAATTCGAACATCAGCTAAAATCACACAACACATGCAAATAAGGACTAAAACGAATATTATATGAAACGAGCAACCAAAAATCTAAACACTTAGAAAGTATAATACTAATCATATAGGATTAAAACGGAACAAGAAATAAATAAAGAGCTCAAAATAGAAAAGATGAAATTTCATTAAGGATCATATTACAACCATTACAAAGCTAAAGGGATTTAAAATGTAGTTATCCTAAGAAAATAACAAAACACGGAAGAAGTTATGAGGACCCATACTGTCATTATCCCCTTTTAACCCAGCGTCCGACCCTCCCCTGTCTCAGAACGACGTCGTTTGACGTCTGAGATATACCCTTTAAGGGTTATTATGAAACCCTAAAAATCATTTCCTCTCCTTCTCTCATCCCCTCAGCCGCAGACCCAACCCGTGGGAGAGAACTCTCCCTCGGCTCACCGCCATGGGAGGCGACCAAGCCTCCTGCCACCGCTAATCAGTGGCCACCAAACCGATCAACCATCCCCCCACGAACGACCTCTCCTTTGAAACCCGACCTCTAGAACCCAAACCCACAACTTATATCAACCGAAACCAACCCCCCCAAAACCAGAAAAACAAAGGCTTTACCTTCAGATATGGGGCTAGCTGGGATCGGGGAAGGTCACAGCGAGATTCACGGTGGTGGTTAGAGAAGGTAAAACTTTTCTTTTTTCTCTCTTTTTTTTCTGTTTCGATTTTTCTCTCCGTATCTTTTCTTCTCTTTTTTTGTTCTTTTATCTTTGCTTCCCCGGATTTCTGGTGAGATGATGATGATATCTAGGTAGAGCCTGGCTTTTTTCTGATTTGGTAGGATAGAAATCCCGAATATTTAGGGATTTATTGGTATTTAAATTTGGAAATTAGATTTTGTGAGATTTGAACTGTATATGATGCATTTTCTTGATTGGCTTTGCTGTAGATGACAATAGTGGAACAGTTGGGGTCAGGCCGGAACAGTGATGGTGGCGGCGTCCGGGAAGCTGAGGAGTCACACGGCGGCTGGAACTCCAAACAGAAGTGGCGGCTGAGTAGGGGATTAGGGTTTGAAACCCTAATCTGTTTTAGGGTTTGAAACCCTAAATTGTTTTAGGGTTTGAAACCCTAATCAGATTTAGGGTTTAAAACCCTAATCTGATTTAGGGTTTGAAACCCTAATCTAACGGGTTGCTGGGCTCCGG